TCCGCGGGCGGCGGCGGGGGGCCCCCAGGGGCCCCCTGGGGGCCCCCGGGGGCCCCCTGGGGTCCCCCCAGGGGCAAATTGAAAGCAGGAGATTCCTGAAAATAAATTTTAAACATTAAATAAAACTAAAAGAATTAAATTAATTAAAAGAAGTTATTCTTTTTGAGGAATGGGGGGTTCAGTAGCAGCAGAAAGAGCCGCTCTTAGGGTTTAGGGTTTAGGGTTTAGGGTTTAGGGTTTAGGGTTTAGGGTTTGGGGCTAGGGTTTACCTCCGCGTTCTTCACGAAGAACTTGTGCGAGCGGTCGACTTGAGGGAACTCCACGCCTGCACGCAGACGCCCAAACCCTAAACCCTAAACCCTAAACCCTAAACCCTAAACCCTAAACCCTAAACCCTCAACCTCACCTTTGCTTCGAAGCTTCCTGTACATAGCAAAAATCGCTGGGCATCTTTCTTGTTGAAGCACGAAGGAGTCTGCAGCAAAGACAAGCCGCCACATATCCTAAACCCTAAACCCTAAACCCTAAACCCTAAACCCTAAACTGCAAACCCTAAACCCTAAACCCTAATTGCTGGAGACTCAAGGCTTACCATGCCACAGCTGGAACATGAAGAGGACCTTGCGCTTTAGCTTCTGCACGCAGAGCAAGCAAGCCTTAAACCCTAAACCCTAAACCCTAACTCTAAACCCTAACCCTAAACCCTAAACCCTAAACCCTAAACCTAAATTAACTCACGTGGATCCTCGGGTCAGTGGCGACGCCAGGGTGTACGAAGGGCCTGCAGCAGCACCCCATGACCACGAGCAGTAAACCCTAAACCCTAAATCCTAAACCCTAAACCCTAAACCCTAAACCCTAGTCCAGCTCCTACCCTCCAATGATTTTGTTTATTTTGTCCTTCACGTCCTTCGTGAGCGACCGCTTGAAGGTTGTCTGCAAAAGCGCATGTCTCAAAGGGTTTAGGGTTTAGAGTTTCTTGAGAACCTAGGGTTTAGGGTTTGGGGTTTAGGGTTTGGAATATGGGGTCTAAGAGACCAGAGCGGCGTGCAGCTCCGACATCCAGGTTAAACAGTTAGGGTTTAGGGTTTAGGGTTGCGGGCTTCGGCCTCCGGACTTGTCAAGCGTTCAGGGTTTAGGGTTTAGGGTTTAGGGTTTAGGGTTTGCGCACAATCTTGAGGACTTTGGCCATAGACCGCAAGAAGTGCTCGTCCATATGCCGCGCGAAATCTAAGCCGTTGTTCTTCACGCATATTTCCACCAGCTGCAGCAACAAACCCTAAACCCTAAACCCTAAACCCTAAACCCTAAACCCTAAACCCTAAGCCCTAAACCCTAAAGACTAAACACTAAGCTAGCGACTGCTCTGATGGGGTCGCTAAATCCTTTCCCACTTCCGCCTCCCGCGCACCTAAACCCTAAACCCTAAACCCTAAACCCTAAACCCTATTGGCTCCTCGTTAACCCTCATAAACCCCCATAAACCCCCACAAACCCTCATAAACCCTCTTAAACCCCCACAAAGCCTCATAAACCCTCATAAACCCTCATAAACTCCCGTAAACACCCAGCCCCCTCCATAAACCCTCTCACACCCCCACAAACCCCCCTAAACCCCCCTAAACCCTCTTAACCCCCCAAACCCTCCCGTAAACCCCCAAACCCTCCCGGAAACCCCAAACCCTCCCGCAAACCCCAAGCCCTCCCGCAAACCCCAAACCCTCTCGAAACCCTCGTTTGCTGCGGACCTCCAGAGCCCTGTACATGCCCTCGGGGTCC